AAAGGGTGAGTTTTTAGCTTCATTGACACGTTTACAATTGTGGTATTTAAAATCCTCAATGGTTTAATCAGCCAAACAACTGATGTTGGCTAAATGTCTGAACACTGAAATAATGTATAACCGTTGTATTATATCTTAATTTGGAGCTTTCCTGACTGCAGGAATTACTCTTTGGTTCTTTCGGTAAAGTCACGTATAAAGATAAAATAATAAATTAAGTAATAGTATGCAATTATTTAATTTATTATTTTATCTTTATACGTGACTTTACCGTTGTATTATACTCTTGAGCTCTGATTCTTTATTTGTCTGCTCTGAGGCTTATTTAATTCATTGGAAATCCCCCCCCTGCCTTCAATTCATCAAGCAGCTAACCCTTCCGGAACTTTGTTCATCAAGGTTCTATCTTTGAGAATGTACCCAATCCACATATTTAACCTTTTCTGGTATAATTAGACAAGTCCTCCTGAATCTGCTTAATTACCTTTTTTATGACGATTTATTGCCTCCATTTGATACATCAATCCTTTCCAAGTTTTCTATGTCTTCCTTTCTAGTCCAAGTTTCTGCTACATTCAACTCTATTCCATAACAGGCTCTCCCCGAGTTTCTTTAACTTTCCTCATTCTAATCGGCAGTATCCTCTGTTGCCTAATCTCACTTTTCCCCAAGGCAATCCTGACTCGAATCTCCTTCCCAGGGTCTGCCATCTTCAGCGTAACTTCCCAGATATTGAAGTTGACTCCCTCATTCGTACAGCTGTTAACTGGTGCATTATGACCCCTCTCAGGCGGAGCAGCAAAAGAAGGCTGCCATCATTGCAGCCGAGGGTGATGCCAAGGCTGCACAGCTGATCGCAACGGCGATATCCGAGGCTGGAGAAGGCCTGGTTGAGCTGCGCAAGCTGGAGGCGGCAGAAGACATCGCCATGCAGCTGTCGAAGTCCCGAGGTGTAGCCTACCTGCCCTCGGGGCAGCACACGCTGCTCCAGCTCCCAGCACAGTAAAGCGACTGTGACAATCCAGTTTTTTTTTTTTGAAAGAGCGCTTAATATTATCTGGTCACAACCTGTTCCATTTTGAAATCTGATGATTGCATTGAGTCTTGCTGGTGTTATTTCCATGACCAGAAACTTGTTTTGTTGAACCAAAATCTAAAAATTACATCTTGCAGAGCTATTTTAGATCTTTACTCTGACATCGGACAAAATGCCTCGAGATCCTGTGATGCATCAGGGAGTATCTGCAGTCACCATTTGCTAATACTGAGATTTATGGCTGACCCTTCCATAGCTTTACCACCTTGAGGTCCAGTAAACATGAAGATTTTGTTTAAACAGCCCCTTGGCTTGCACGAAATATTCAGTGTGATTATTCACTGCCTTGGTATAGTTATTTACATTTTGCAAATGTAATGGGCAACAAATGAGATTTTGTTGCCATGTATGAACCGTGCATCTCGTGAGTAGTTGCAAGCATTGGGCCGGAGCACGATAGGGGTGGTAAGAGTCTTATGAGAATGGTTAATGGTCTTGTTGGCATTGTTAAATAACTGCACATTCTTTTTTTATTACTCTAAATTGTTTCCCATTAAAGATTGGTACAGTGCAGTGGGATGTGCTTGTGTTGTTTTGTGACGTGTATGGAAATTGGCAAATAACTTTGAAAAAAGATTTAAGGGTCTGTAAACACATCTACACAGTGCATATATAATCAATATAGATATGTAATAAAAACAATCTAAACTGACATCTTTTGAAAGCATAACCTTATATTGAAGACACAAGTATGGTGGCAATTAACATTGTTTTATACGGACGGTGACGAAGCAATTCCAGCCAATATGGAATATTTTCTATAATCTCTCCTACCTCCCAACATGCCACTTGTACAATAATTTAGGTGTAACCTGCATATATGTATTTGATTACAGGAACAAAAATAATTACTTAAATCACTGATTCCTATCTTGGTTTGGATTCATTCCTTGTATCACACAGATGTTTATTTACATGTGAATCTATGACCATGGTAGTTGGACGAGTAATACTATACGTGATCTTGTGCTGAGGAATGAAGGGATTTTTTTTCAAGGGCTACTTTGATCTAGCCTTATTCACACTTTATCGAGGAGGCTTTACGGTAAATGACATTGAAGCCGGGTTTTTTTCTTTTTAATATATTCTATAAAAAATCGCCTTTAATTCCGGGGGTAAAAAGGTCATCCTTGATACTGTTTTATGATAACTTACGTTTGGTCAATGTACTATATTTTGTAGCACTTTTAAGTGGATATACATTTGCAGGGAGATCAATCCACCGTGTGCCACCAGTTCATCTTGAACATCGAAAAAAAATGAACCACACTCCCACTGCGTTGGGAGGGGGGGGGCACATTGCATGCAGAACAATTGACGATAACGTCGCCGGGAATTCTGTAATTAATCGTCATGCCCCGCAGTGACGTAAAAACACTCTGGCAGGAGCCCCCCCCACCCCACCGCATGGACTGCACCATCAGCGGTGGGGGGTATGGGTGGACTTCATGAAAGGGGGGTGGGGAGACGGCTTTGTCCATGGGGGGGTGGGGGCCCCCCACGTGTGTCGTGCATCGAGAGCCGTCTTCCTGGACATGTGCAGCTCACAAGATGGCGGTGCTGGCACCTCGTCTGCTGCACTCTCCTGCATCACTGAAGAAAACGCGCACGAAACCCGGCCACGGCCATCCCCACCAACCCCGCAACCTGAATACAGCACCGTGCAAGCGGCAAGATGCGCCGGGACGCACGGATATACTGCGGCCGCAGGCAAAGGAAGTTTCAAATAGCCAAGTTCAAGTTCATTTATTCGGTGAAGCCCTGTGAGCCATTCGGCTCTTGAATCGGGTGCAACCGCAACAAACAAAACAAAAACATGAACAAGAAAACATCTTAAAGTGAATATGTGACTAAGTGCAAACAGAAAATCCAAGAAACGACAGCTAAATATTGCAGAAAAAACACCGTACACCAACGCTGTGTGCAAAATTCCCAGTGGGATGCAAGTCAAACAACAACAACCACAAGACAACTTAGATTAAGGCCATCAGTCTTACTCCGTACTACAACAATCTGTGATGCAATGGCAGTGGCAGAGGCGCAGAGCTTTAGAGTGCAGCCTGTGCGGCTGCAAACACAAGAGGGTGTGGGTGGTGGGGTCATGTCCTGAGCTATGAAGAGGCGGTGGGGGAAGAGTCCACGCCAACTGCGTGGCTTTGTCAAGTTAACAGGATGTCGGAGTGTGCATGGAAGCCAGGACGTGGCGTGACAAGCGTTGGGGGCATTGGGTGCCTTGGCACCCCTGGTGGCCAAAGCTACGAGTTGGGGGGGGGGGGCCCTTCACAACCACCATAAGATATGTTTTCAACAGCGTAAAAGACCAAAATGTTACTGAAAATGCGGTTTATATTTACTTGTATGAAACTGCTCTTAGTTGTGTTCCACATTTTTATTTAATTAGAGCAGTAACGTAATATTGCAAAGAGGTACGAACGGAGCTGTAATGGCTGTATGTTGTGAAAACGGAGTCGCCCCTACAACGATAAATGTTCGAGACCGTGCCAGGCAAATCAAATATTGTGGGTCCTACTGGACCGATTGCTGAACCCCTTGAGATGATAATGTAGTTAACCCACTGCTAAGACAACAAAGGACACGATCTTGGAATTCTGAAAGTCAACCCACCGTGACAAATTTTATAGGCATTAACTGGTATAGATGCACACGAATTCATCCATGTTAGGATGTAAATCTGACCTGATTGCCCATAGTCTGTGTAAAACAACAATTTTGGGTGCATGCAGTACACTAATTTTAAGGCAAACACCAGTGGCTTATTGTGCACTCTGAAACTCATTATTCTAGTCGGAAGAAGAATTGCACACCTGTCAAGCCCTTATCAGTGGCTACCTTATTACAGACCAATTTAGACATTATTGGTCACCCCGTATCCTTATAAATCTTAACGTTCATCCTACAAAGTCCCATCATAAGAGAGAAACACAAATACACATTTTTTTGCCCGTATTGAAACGGCTGTGCGCCGTTTGGACCTGAAAACTCAATGCCCCTTTAGAAGAATACGGGGAAACCTTATGGGTTAACAGGAAGAGAATTGATACATATTTCTCAATTACCGAGTGATCTTTTTTTTACACATTTGGGATGTAAAAATACGTGACCTAGTCTTGACTGGGCATATTTTTGGAACCCCAAAAATAACCGCTGATCAAATGTAAAAAAAAAATCCATTAAGACCAGGCCATGTTGATAAGTCCATTAGAAAATGTATTAATGACAATTTTAAAATAGAAAGCTATTTGAATCCTCCGAGTGGAATTAGATAGCCTACTTTCAATCAAATACACTAGTGAGAGTGACTGGATAGTTTCATACTAATACAACCGGCGAGGTAGCCAAAATGATTGTGCGAGTCAGCGCATCATCCCTCGGGAGTCGATAAATCTAGTACCACTTCATGGGGTAGTCAACAGTGGCTGGCCTATGGAGAGACTCGCACCCAAGACTGTCCCAGGACTGTGAGCAGGTGATGAGGACCCGAGTCAACACAAGACGTTGGGCCAAAGTTGGCTTTTGTTTACTGGGACCACATTTGAGCAGGACGTTGTTTTAACTGTTTAATGCTCTTTTTATTATGACCCAGGAAAGCTCCAGTGTCTCGAGACCTTTTCAGAAGGGGTTGCCTGCACTGACCATCGTGGTCAAAAGTACGATCTAATAACTCACACGACCTGAATTGACCTTGAACCGACGATGGCAATGGCAATAACGCTGCTGCTGCTGGTGTCAAGTGACTCATCTTGCCCCACAACTAGCAGTGGAGTGACCAAGGCTGACAGCTGTCAAAACACGTTGATGCCGATTGCTCAGCGCACCAAAGTGAGCCGTCTTGTGCCGCACGCAGACGCCCCGAGTCCCGCATCCATGTGCCGGGCCCCCCCCCCCCGCGCTCGCTCTGAGCTGGGCTCCCCGCACCGGGAGATTTCTCTCTCTTCTCACCTTTCTCACAGATTACTACTCGGCTCGTCGGGGCCACATTCAAGCGCAACAACGAACCCTCGCCGCCCGCTACTTTGCACGCTTAGCGGGGACTGCGGGGGCACCGTGAAGATGGTAACACGCCGTTGCAACTGATGGCTTTAATCCGCGCGCTGTTGTTGGGCGTAAGGCCTGGTCGCGCTCGGGCCCCCCGACTCTTGCCTGATTTCTTGGCCGTGTACCTGCGCTCCCCCCCCCCCGCCCCACTCACCCACCCCGGTGCGGTAGGAGCGAGGCGGCCTCGTCTTTATTTGGCTTGCTCGCTTAATTAGCAGCAGCGTGGCCACGACGACACACCGGGGTTTCATTCGCTCGGGTCTCGCATTCTGTTTGGGCTGTGTGCGCTTGCCTCCCCCCCCCCGTACAGGAGGAGCTAAGCTGGCATTGGAGATACGTTTTTGTGTGACGGCACTGCGAGCAGGACCCCATGCTGATCCGCTGCGGCCGCGTTATTCTCGCTGCTTTTCTGCGTCGCCTCCGATGTGTGCCCTCGTTTAAAATGTGTTCACTCAACATGGCAATGAAATGTCACATTTGCTTGATGGGTAGATATATATGTAAAAAGTATGCGCGTGCACGGTGGGCGGGAAGTCCTTATACCTGTGACAAATTCAGATTTTTTTAAACTCGTACAGGTGAAGGTGTTATATGGATTTCTCGACGAACCCGTTGAATTTTCTTAGTAGTTTGTGCGTGTGCATATGGCCAAATCGCCCGGAATGCATCAGATCTCAGAATGAACCTGGATAGTGCCTGGATGGATGGGCGACCACCAATGCATAAATTAAGTGCTGTAAGCATCTGGCGGCCTTGCGTTGTGAGCAGCAGAGGGCAGTGCAGACAAATCCCATTGTATTGTACTTGAGCTCCATCGCCGATGCTAACCCGCCTTCACCAATGTGCACTGATCATCGTGGTCACGTAACTCCCCCCCCCCAAGACCCGCCTGTAGTGGCGAGGCGCTCATCCAGCAGTGGATTGACATAGACCCTACATGGATATTGTGTTTTAGATTCATAAATGACATCTTCATTTGAAGCATTTTTCGTGACTTTTTTTAACCATTGTTTTTTTGATCATCGTGCATTTATTCTGTTGTGTTGTTTTATTTTCATTTACTGTTTTTTGTTTGTTTTATTTCCATTGCGTGAGAAGAACCACAACTATGGCATGAAGCACAACTGCTGTAGAGGCTGCCCAGGACATGGGGAGCGAATTGTAACATTTAATATAGGTAAAACACTGGCTCTGTCAGTGCCAAGTTTACATATTGCAAACTAATCATTTCAACCTTCCATAAACTTGGACCTTATTTTTTCCTAAGCAAGTCTTTCACTACATATCACCAATTTTTTCATTCTTTCATAAAACAAAAAATCTTCTTATTTTACATCTGTAGACATGTACCCATTTTAGTTTCCATTATGTTGGTACGATCGAAAAGCTGATGCTATTGTTGTTCAGATTAAACTGGAGAATCAGACCCTGAGGGCAGAGAGGGTGGAAGATCTGCCGGTGCCAGAGTACACGCTGCGAGAGGATGTGGAGCAGCACGCGGCGCGGCTCACGCAGCAGCTGAACGAGCAGCGCCTGCAGCAGCCACACCTGTGCGACGTGGACGTGGTTGTGGTGGAGGGCACCGGCGCTGGACACAAGCACAAGAACAAACAGAAGCAGCGGCAGCACAAGTTCCCCGCTCACCGGGGCGTGCTGGCTGCAGGGAGCCGTTTCTTCGGCGGCCTCTTTGCGACCGAGGGCCTCAAGCCGTCCGTCGGTCGTGGCCGCCAGCGCCTGGAACTGCGCCTGCAGGAATTGTCGGCGCGTGGCTTCCAGCACGTGCTGGGCTTCATCTACACGGCCAAAGTGCACGTCACCAAAGGCAACGTGCAGGATGTGATGAGCACAGCACGCGCCCTGCACCTCGACCAGCTCGCAGAGTCCTGCCAGAAGCTGTTAAACACGCGGGCCTTTGATGTGGCAGACTCCAACATGGCCAGCGCGGAGGGCCTGACCAACCCGGGGCAGTCCGCGGAGGGGCAGCATGCGCAGCCCCATGAAGACAACGACATCATTTATCATGGCGATGCAGAAGACTCCGATTCGGACGCGTCGACCAAAGCAAAAAACTCTGACAGCGACAGAGACTGGGAGAGCGGCGGGGATGATGAAGATGATGACGAGGAGGAGGAGGACGATGATGAGCAGAACTTTGACTATGGATTGCGTCGCAGCACCAGGTCCTATCTGCATCCAGACGACAAGCAGATCATTGTGGAGTTGAATTTGAATAACCAGACTCTACATGTCTCACAGGGCTCCGGAGATATAATCACAAGCAGATCTAAAGGCAAGCGGAAGAAAGTAAAGAAAGAGGTGAAGGAAGAGTTAAATGAGGAAATCAAGCAGGAGGAACCGGGCAGTGAAGATGAAAAGAAACACCGACCCCGCCGCGGTCGCCCTCCTCTCACCTCCAAGGACGTGCGGAGGAGAGGCAAGAGGAAGAGGCCCCCTGTGACACCTCGGAAGGTGAAGAAGATTGAAGAAAAGGAACGCTTCCCTTGCAGCAAGTGCAAGCGGGTCTTCAATAACAAGATCTACTTACAGAAGCACCTGACTGTGAGCCACAAGAGAAGCCACGTGTGTGAGAGGTGCGAAAAGAGGTTCGTGAAGGAAGAGGAGTTGCGGCTCCATCAGCAAACAGACTGTGAGAAGAGCATTCAGGTGAGAATTATGAAAATATATTGCCCACATTTAAAAATAATGTACTCTATAAATTATACTTGATCAGAATTGGGCTTGAACAATGTAAACATATTATGCGTAATTTACCTTTGCCTGTGGTTTGTTTCAGTGTGTCACATGTGAGAAGCAATTTAAGAAACTCTGGTACCTTCAGCAACACATTAAGACAGTGCACAGTCTCACAGAGAGGAGTGTGGCCTGTGATATCTGTGGTAAAAAGTTTTACACTGTGGCTCAAGTTAAAAAACACTTGGTTGGTGAGTATGGATTCACTTAGAAATTGTGAATGAATCCCGCATTGGAGTCGGAACGAATGTTTAACTTTTGTTGTGCAATGGTGTATTGTGTTGATTTTGCGTATGAAAATGTACAATCTTAATTACAGTAGAACCTTCTTATAACAAAAAACTCGAAGTAAGCTTGACATTTTTTATAATTTAAATTAAGACGCTATTGGAAAGAGTTAAATTAGACTTTTGGTTTGGCTGAATGTAGAAACTTCAATGTGCCAGCTTTGTTGTAATGAGGTTCTTCTGTAATGCCTTTGTCTGTGGGTGTGCAGCCGTTGTTAAAGTTGTTTTCAATGTATTGTCTAGCGCACCGTGAGGATATGCCGTACACATGTGAGACATGCGGAAAATCTTTCAAGCGCAGCATGTCTCTTAAAGTTCACAGCATGAAGCATACTGGGCTCAGACCGTACAAGTGTAAGGTATGTTTGTGTACCTCGAGTGGAATAACATTCTACAATGTGTTTTATAATAGCACGTACAGTTGGTGTGAATGGTTTCTGCTTTGCTTGTGTTTTTGTGAATGTTTTCTGTGCCTCTCTTTCCCTCGTGCATTTCCACCCATGCAGTTTGAGAGCTGTACGGAGTGCTTCATGTACCGATATCAGCTGAGAAACCACATGAGCGTGCACCTTGGCCACAAGGAGTTTATGTGCCAATGGTGTGGAAAGGATTTCAGCATGAAGCAGTATTTTGACGAGCACTTAAAAGTACACACTGGTAGGTTTTGGAGTGTGCATTTGCCACATGGACGTGTACACAGTTCTTTTGTCAATGTACGTGCTGGATGAAAGCCTCCCCCATGCCGTGAAAGTCGTGGTGTGTTCTTTTGGCATACTTCACTACACTGGTCAGTATGGGTTTGTGAAAGTGGAGAGGTACAGACATGTACGGTAAAACAAGGGCTATTGCTGCACTAGCCTCGGCTGCTCTAAACATAACTCCGCAGGCTGTGGCACCTGTTTATGTAAGATGTTTGCCAATCCAAGCAATATTCAGGCTCTACACTGATTGGCTTACGAGCTCAGATGAGATCTGACGAAATCATGTGCATTCCAAGTGATTTGGTAATAGCATGTTGCATTTTCTGTAAACATGTAATGGAAAAATGTTTTAATTGCACACAAATAGATGGTCAGTACTCCGTTAACGAAACACGCCATTGATGTGCAACATTGTGGTTTCAATATCTGCAGCTGCTTTATTTTTGTCCTTCATAAACAATTTCTTTTTTAAACTTTTAAATTAAAATATACATCAAGGATCAAATACACTGAGTTCCATCCTCAATGACTAAACCAGTATTGCAGTGCATCACCACTCACTCGGTTTAACAGGTGAAAAGTGTCAAACATGGAGGAAAAAATGAGAGGGAGGGGAGCTTAGTCGGGGTGGGGGAAGACATAGCCCGAGGACATCAACCAAGCCATCACAGTCGAATTTGAAAAGGCGGACTAGCTAATCGGGTCTAGATCTTGGGAGGACCTAATTATTTTGTGGATCAACAATGTGTTTTCAGCTTGTACTGCGTGTTCTGGGTGGCTTCCAATGTTCCACTCCACGCCCTGGGATATTCTGCAGCAGCTAAACACAAAGAGAGCTAGACAGCTCAATGGCATAATCCTACGCTTTAGTGGCTAATTCCAAATGCAAACCTTTCTCTTGCCCTCCACAGGAGAGAAGCCCTACATCTGTGAGGTATGCGGCAAGAGTTTCACGAGCCGGCCCAACATGAAGCGGCATCGGCGCACGCACACCGGGGAGAAGCCGTACTCGTGCGACGCCTGCGGGCAGCGCTTTCGCTTCTCCAACATGCTGAAAGCACACCGCGAGAGGTGCCAGCTTGCCGTCGAGAAGATCAACATGGACGTGCACATTGCGGCAAATCTGTGACGCGCCGTCACTCCACCAGTGTGTCAGAGTGGCCTCGGGTCGTGCGGTTGCGTTCTTTTTAAGGAAGGTTTGTTTAGAGACACACAAATTGCCACGTTTGTTAAAGAGGATTCATAGACATTCCTTTTTATGCAATATTATAAACCCAACTTTTATTATCCCCAGTCCATTGAGCCTGAATCTCCAAATAAATCTGTAATTTATTCATGGTCCATGGTGTTTTGCCATCTGGCAGCGATAAGAGTTACAGGCTTTTTTTAAAAATAAAAGATCACGTGTTCGTATACTGCTGCTACTTAAAATGAATTTAATTTTCTTCTACTTTGCATAGGACATATTTGCTGTTCTTTATTCAGTAGCACTTACCATATGTTATTATTTGTGTTCATGACCTGGACACATGTTGTTATGTTACATTTATATCATATTTCATCGTATTTAAGAAAAATATTTTTTTAGGTTACGTAAACTTAATTAGACGATTTTGCAGGCACTTTGTACTTTGCTGTACTGTTAGCGCATACAACTTAGCCCCTTGTCATAGGATTTCCAAAAAAATGGTTTGACCATTTGAGGAGTGAAAACAACTGGTTGTGCCTCAAACGCAACGTGATTATTATTATTGAGACACCTTGAATAATATATACTAATAGCATTGTACCAGAATAGGTACATAATATATGCCAAAATGGCTTTTTCATTTTTTTACGTATTTGCAGTACAGTATTCAAACAGCCGTTTAATGCTTTGACGTATTATTGCTGCAGATCGACTCGTGCAGTAATGTATTCATCTATTTGCATTTCATGCATTTCTGTAGTTTCCCCACACAGAAATTAGTGTTACAAAAATCTTTAAACAGGTTGATCAGTGTATCATACTGATGTCTTATTATTGCTAAGTAAACACACCCTGTTAATCTGTACCTAAAGGTTATCAGTGCAGGGGTGTTTGCAAAGTACTTTGAGCATTTTTAACCCACGTAAAGCACTACTTGCCATTGCACCCTGTAATTAGTGTATGCTGCCACGGTTTTAATACTGCCGGCTCACAGGAATGACGTGTTAAGCAATGTCATTGGAAACGGTATTTTAAACAACACGAAACATGACTTAATGATGTTCAACAGATGCTGATTATACCATTAGAGAATGTGACTGTGATGTAATGTAATTGGAATAGAACCGTTTTTATTTCTTATTGTAATCATGTAATGAATGTGTTAATTTTATTTTGTTATCGAACAGTATAAAGATACTGTGAACTTTTTGTATGTCAATCATCTTTGTAAACAGCATATTGATTCATGCACAAAATACAATAAAATAAAATCGGTTAAACATTGTGGCCTTTTGAAATCATTTACCGTTAAGTTGCTTCGTGTATCGTTTGTACAACGTTTCCTAACATTTAACAGTTTGTAAATTTCAATTGTATCTGCGTTTTTTTTATCCAAAGCTTTAAGGGGAATTGATTCGTCCTGAGTATTTTCACAGGAAATGTCTCGCTTCTGTTTTGTTATGTTTCACGTTGTTTATTGGCACCTTTTTAATTGCTCCTGGGCCACAGAAAGCGTTTCAGATCGTGCGGTATCTCCCATGTGTCGCGAACGTCGCTGCAATCGATTTCTACGAAACGCCGATTTTTTTAAATCGGAAGAAAGAATTAGAATATCCCACAGGGATGAAATCAATGCCACGCAAGTCTACACACAGCGGGTACAAAGACGCTAGGCGACCATTAACATTTGTAAGTTGATGTGTTATTAACCACCTACACTTGATTTTTTAAATCCTTTATATTAAGTTTGCTTGCTTGCTTGCGTGCTTGCTTGCTTGCTTACGACCGTGCAAATCTTTCGGTCGTTTTTTAACCCACTTCCCGTTATCCAATCGAGCTGACATTTTCCACACAGACTCGTCGTGCGTGACAATTTTCGTGAAAAATTTTTTTTCTAAATTTTACACTGTTTAGGGAAATGTTTTAAAATATTTAATTACTAATTGCTTAATGCTGGCAGACAATCATCTGACCCATAGGTGGCAGCCATCTCAAGCCAGAGGACGAGAGGACTCGAGCCGCCACGCATATAAAGGATTTATAGTGAAAAACTTGGTTTTTACGGGTTAATTTTTTTGTGGCGCACCTATAACGTCATTACCCGGAACGCAGCCGGTCTTGTGAGCTCAGCAGATGTGACGATAAATAAGTGCTTGGATGGAGGGTCGCCATGCACGGATTGGCTGGCATTGGGCAACAGGACTGCTTGGTGGGAAGCAAGAGTGGAGTGCAGCAAATGCATTGCAGTACTGTACTTCGACGCTCCCACACATACGTTCTTCGCCTTCAACCCGCAGCACTCTCCAACGTAGTGAAGTGTGCTCGAATAAATCCCATAACCCACACGGTGCAGGTAGAGCCGCCACCAACGACGGGTTGACAGCGGGTTATGCATACTGTTGCAGCATCGAGCGGGTATGTATGTGCGCGTCTAACATTGACGTACTTTACTGCAGAAAATGTGCAATGCCCGGGCAACTAGCGAGTTCTATATTATAAAAAAGGCCCTCCTTTCAATACTGACTGAGCAACTTTGGTGTAGAAGTCTTATCCATTGAGAGTTCTTGGTCGTGATAACGTCAGCCGCAGCGATTTAAAATACCAAAAACATAATTTAGATGTCCATAGCATCGGCCTCAATGAGCGGTGATTACTACATCGACAAGCAATGTATCCTTCACATTTTCTTTACGCAAACCCATCGGGCCACCACGACTTTCTGAGGTTGCGTAATTTCAGCAGCATTGATTCAACACAAGCAAACACCTGACCGGTTTTGACTGTCTCATCAGCAGAGCCAGGCTTGCCTGAATAAATGCTGGTGAATTGCCCAGCTGATTTCTGACCTTTAACATTTGGCGGTTAAACCAGTATTGGTTCAAACAAGCCTGACTGTTAATGAGATACTGCGGAAACCGGTCCTTGCCTATAAAACAACACTCAACAGCATTGGTTCAGCAAGCCTGCCTGATGGTGAAACGCTGTTCATTGATCCAGAGCTTGCTTGTTACTGAATCAATGCTGCTGGAATGATGTATCCCCAGAAGGTCGTGGGGCCGATGGATTGTGTCAAAATGTATTTTTTATGTGGAGAGACAGGTATATGAAGGATAATCTGTTTATATTATTTATATTCTCCACAATCACGCAAAAATATTATTTTGGGTGGTGATAATGAGCATTTGAAGCAAGACATTAAACTTGTCCATTGTTTGACCATAATTCACCATGCTGGTCAATGCGAGTTGGTGAAGGGGGGGGGGGGGGGTCACGACCAGATCTGATAGCACTCACTCTCACTTTACTCTGCATGGCAACTCCTGTAATGGAAATGCATTCATACTAATAGGGGTTTCCCCCTTTTTATGGCAACAAAACTGACACCTTTTGCAAGGAATCATGCTTACATTAACCACAATACTTGCAGTCAAATGCAAACAAAAAACAATACTCTGATAATTTATGCATTGTCTTTGAAACTGATTGGTCCACACCAGAGACAGCTTTCTTTAGAGCCTGGTCTCATATGGTGTTCGACCAGATGACGCCAAAAGGCGCACAATTCAAAGACCACGCACTACCAGAGTAATGAGAGCTCGGGGTGAGCAGCTACATCATGGGACCTCCTTTGCCAGTACCAAAATATACTAATAGGGTTTTTCCCCTTTTTCTGGCAACAAATCTGACACCTTTTGCAAGGAATCATGCTTACATTAACCACAATACTTGCAGTCAAGTGCAAACAAAAAAACAATACTCTGATAATTTATGCATTGTCTTTGAAACTGATTGTTCCTGCAGTGTCCAACAATGATGTAGGCGCACAATTCAAAGACCACGCACTACCAGAGTAATGAGAGCTCGGGGTGAGCAGCTACATCATGGGACCTCCTTTGCCAGTACCAAAATATACTAATAGGGTTTTTCCCCTTTTTCTGGCAACAAATCTGACACCTTTTGCAAGGAATCATGCTTACATTAACCACAATACTTGCAGTCAAGTGCAAACAAAAAAACAATACTCTGATAATTTATGCATTGTCTTTGAAACTGATTGGTTCACATGCATGTCCAACAATGATGTATTCCTGTGACGAGAGCTCCAGAGTAAATGTAGTTCTGGTTTTGTACACCAGGTGGAGACCTTGCAGTGTCTGAGTCGTCTTTCATATCGTCCCATTGCCGGTTCGTGCAATCGTGTGGTGATGATGGTGATTGACGGCGATGATGATGATGTTGATGATGATTATATACCATACGGTTTACCCGTATTCTTGTACAGGGAAATTTAGTTTTCAGGTTCATACGGCTGTACAGCCGTTTCAATAAGGGGAAACACGTTTTGTCTATTTGTTTGTGTTTCTCCCTTGTGATCGGACTTCATAGGATGAACGTTGAGATTTATAAGGGCACGGGGTGACCAATAAGGTTTGAGATTTTAAAAGTGATATATTTGAGAGGGGTTTTGATGATTGTAAGGGCACCACGAGAGTGGATACAACATCCGATTATGCAGCTACCACGTAAAAACAATCTCGGGTCATAAATAAATCATGAGCAATAGCCGTGTTCGATCCACTACTGGATGAAGGCCTCTCCAGACCATCGCCATATGTTACGATCCTGTGATGCAACAATCCACCTATGACCTGCACACGAGCTGATTCAATCGCTCCATCTCTCTGACGGGCGGTCCTCATTATTCCTGACCATCATACCTTCTCGTCTGAACCTGCCCTGCCCAAGCCACACTTATACTCATCTTAACAGTCGGATGTATTTGTTTAACCTGCATATGAAATGTATAGATTCAGAAAACCGTAGAGGTGGGACAAAGTCATTGTTATGCAAGTCCAAGTCGAGTCTGAAGTCATCAAATTCATGACTCGAGTCTGACTCGAGTCCAAGTCACATGACTCGAGTCCACACCTCAGAGGTGGGACAAAGTCATTGTTATGCAAGTCCAAGTCGAGTCTGAAGTCATCAAATTCATGACTCGAGTCTGACTCGAGTCCAAGTCACATGACTCGAGTCCACACCTCTGGAAAACCGCCCCACCCACACACTCCCGTAATATATATTTCCTGTGTAATACTGCGTTGGACAATGTAACAGAACAAATACCCACCAACAAAAAACTCAACACATTGGACGTTTCGGGCAATCAACCTTCTGCTATAAATGACCATTTCCCGAAACGTCGCTTGTACACATTTACACTGTATTCCTATCGGAGGCAGGGCTTTTGACGAATGTGTCGAGTACCCCCCCGCCCCCCCCCCCCATAAACACAGACGCGTTATTTCTCCAGCAATGATCACTACCGAGCATGTACTTGCATAACCACTTGCCAGGCATTATCCCAGCGGACTTATGGCCCCATAACCGTCGCTTTGATGAGCCTTCTAATAACTATTGATTGCCCTCGGGGCCACGGTTCGCGGGCATGGTTCGAGGCGCATGCCAATGTTCTTGAAAATGGATGCGCATTCAATGAGCAGGCAGCTCCGCTTTGTTAATCCTCATCAAAACCAACGGAGCGTCAACACCGCTGCCACCAATCAATGAGCGGGGGCCCCCACTGCATGCAATCATTAAAGGGTCCGGACCGGGACCTTGCGTCTCCCTCCCCCGTCCCCCGTCGCCACGTGCTCTCCACGTGCTCGTGTTTGCAGTGGGGTCTTCAAAGAGCGCCTGCGGGCTAAATGCACGATTTTCAAAAACACGTGTTACCTCCGTTGCGAGCGGCAGTGTTTAATTAAAGCCCGGACAGTCCGAAACGCTGTTCCGGAATTGATTTTGACATGCACACCCATATCGCCTTATCTTGTCCATTCAACCTGTTCATTAGATTATATGTATACAGAATTAATCCTTTTGAGTTTCGGAATATTGGGTACAACAGTATCTAATTAATTATGGATAGGCGTACATTTCACAGTCCTTTTAGTGGTGGTGTCTTACGCCGGTTATTCATACTTCAAACCAGGCTGCTGGGGCTGTCCATAAATGACGTCACGCACCTAGGGGGGGGGGGGTCAGACATTTGGGACGATGTGTTATGAGGGGGGGGGGGCTGAGAAATGTGACGTCACATCAAAATGCGCAACTTTAAATAAATATAAACAACACGTTCTACTTAATTAAATCTACTTTTTAATGAATGTTTTCTCCTACAACATTATAGTGCAGCGCCACATTAAATACGCACGACAATGACAATAGTTTAAAGCGATTTGAAGCATGTTTTAATGTTTTGGGGGGGGGGGG